AAACTCACTCAGAAATGTCTAAGCTATCCTTTATATACAACTGTTTTTTTTTTTCAGATCAATGATTAAAAATTGATTCAAACAAATAAATCCCTCAAAATCTTAAAAAAGGCAATCCTTCATCAAACCTTATAGACTGATTCTACAAAATCACTAAGTGCTACAACAAATAACAAAAACTATACCACTTGAACTCTTTCAACAACAACCATAACAAAACTGAAGAGCACATTAACTAGAAGATAAAATAATGATATAATCAAGTTATTAACTTTCTACACTATAAAAAACAAAAGGTTTGAAAGGAAGCTCCAATCAATGCTAGAAAAAAGCTATAGCCTTTAATGAACTTGAAATTTCTCATTTTCTGTAAAACTGTTTTAATAAAAAGATTTTATAAATTTCAACCAACTGTTTTGACAATGAATGCTGAATGTTTCCTGTATGGAAACAGTTACTTTCGCCATGACTATTTGTTGTAGTTGTATTTGTGAGTTCTAGTTGGATCAGTCCACTACTTTCAACTCATTTAGTTTGGTACAGACAATCTATATCTGCTTTGGCGTGATAGATATTATTTATTCACTTATTATTTGAACATTTTGAGTCATTCATAAGTGGAAACAACTATTCTTCAGAGAAGTTCTTTATACTTTTTACTTTGTTATTTGCCAAATTCTGTGCCTACATGTGTGTGACTACATATTTTGGCAGCTTATATATAACTGAGAAAGAGACTTAAAGTTTGGTTTAATATTATTTACTAAATTTTGTTCAATGCTTGAAATTATATTTTTCAGAAATTTAACTTGAGAGAAAATATGATAGAGAAATTTGAAAGCAAATTAAAATAGCAAATGTTAGACTACTATATCTAATTTGTAAATAAAATTGCATTTTTGTTTATAAAATGCTATTTTATCACAGATGCAAAAAAGTTTGAAGTAACAGTAATTCTACCAATGAATGTTACAAAGTATGTGAGAAACAAGGACATTTTAAGAACTACAAATAAACTACTCTTAACAATAAGAGAAAGACAACTAAATTTTTTGAAATACATAATGAGGCAATAAGGAATTTAACACTCACAGGTTACATTGACAATAATAAAAGCAGGTGGGATCCTTCATAGAAATAGTCAACCAATATGACTTGCAGGTGGTAAGTGGAGTAATATTTGTGCTAGTATTATAGACAGTAAAATTATAGGTAATTTCAAAATTGATAATGGTTCAAGCTAAATGCCGATAATTATTATAAGACAAGGTATTTTGATTGGTGCCAGTCACAATTAAGAAGTTCTAAGCTTAGTATTTTTATGCAAGACAATGGTCTTACATAAAAATATTTAAGTTCTGTAAAGTTGTCTATTGCTCATCTCACCAAAAATATTACAACGACATTAAATAAATAAAATAGCCACAGTCTCTTCAGATATTGATAAATAGAAAATGTGTAGATATTTGGAAAGCAATAAAATTTGTTGCAAATAATCTCTATACTATAGAAAAGTTAACAAAGTTAATGAAAAACTGGTGAATGTTATAGAATGTTAAAGTGAAAATATTAACATGTAAAAAGATAAAATAATAATTAATTCAAATAAATATTTCTATGGCCTATATTGTTTTGGATTTTCTATGGCCTATATTGTTTTGGATTAAAATTTATGATGAACTTAGTAAAACAAGTGATTATCAGGATTTTTTTAATGAGGATATTTATTATAAACAAACTCACAAAAACACATTTTAAAATTTTTGCCAATATTGGTTGGTTAATACCAATTAGATATAGACTATGGCTGAAGACACTTTTTCTTTTACAAGAAATAAAATTATTGGACAAATTTTGTCTTTTGAATTGAGAGCCTTTTTTCCTTATATATGCAATTTTTCTGGCTGCAGATACTCTTTCTTTATTCTGGGAGATAATTCTATGAATGATGTTTAATAAAATATCCAAATTTCTTTCTTTTTAGCTTCTTTCTGATATATATATATATATATGATATATATAAGAACATCTTTCACTTTTTGGAGAATGACAACTGTTTACTTCATTTAGTGATGTGGGGTGAAGGGGAAGTACAAAGTCTAAAATAAATAGATTAGTATGCTAACAAACACTAAAATCTATCCTACCAGGAAAAAAGCTAACAATTAGGAAACAAAATTTGGCAAAAATAGAAAAATTGCCAAACTTGATCACTCCTTATTTTTTCAAAAGGAGTCAAGCAAATAAAAAATGATGACAGCAATTAATTTTTAACAAAGATATACCTGTTAGTGCATGTGGCAGTCCCAGGAGACTCTCAGTTTTAGTTTTTTTATCCTGGCCTCATGGTTTGTTAATAGTGTTCTTCTGGTTAACTGTCAAGCATTGGTTTTCTGCCAAGTTTGCTAGTTTTTATAAGATTCTTTCTGTAAATGAATTGTTGAGCTTTTTCCACTGAAATATCTGCAGAATGAAAATACTTCCTATTCAATCCATATGTGTTTTAAAAACCATTTTGAGCCATATTTCAGTTAAATTTTTGTAGAGATAACATTTTTCAATAATTGATCCAATGTTCATGCATGTTTTGCTATGTATTCATGAGTTTAGTAAGCTATGATATATTGTTTGAAGCTGTTTATAACATGTTTTGAGAAAAAAGGAAAAGCATCTTGGTGTTCCTTTAGCCTTTTCATTACCAATAAACTCTAAATCCTAACTACCTTTCTCTTACAAACTTTGCAGTGAAGCAGAAACCATTTCTGCAACAAATATAAGGCCATGATGGAACTTTCTTGCAGGAAAATTTTTTCAAAGCATTGCATCCTTCTTTGGATACTAGCAATCAACAAGACATTAGTGTATAGCTAATAATCTTTAGATCAGAAGAAATATACATATGGAAATACACATTCTTTTTTACAGAAATGTTACTTAAATATTCTGCTGTTATTTCGTTTGCTCAAATGCACACACACACACACACACACACACACACACACACATATATCTATATATATAGTTTTAAAGTCTTTAGTCAATAAAGAAGGAATTCCAAAAGAAAACCCAATATTGATCATTTCATCAAATTTTAGTAAGCGGGTCACTTTGAAATTTTGTCAGCACCTTTTTTGTATATCTATACAATCACATCTATATGCATGTATACACATGTATGCATATCAATGTATTTAGTGAGATGAGAGACTGCCAAACCTTTTGAAAAGCAATGCTACATCTTCTGGCTGCTGATGAATATGCAGTATAATATGTACTGTTTATTTAGCTTTAAGGGTTGCTTAGGCACATAAGGAAGCTAAATCAAGTGAGTTAAAATCTCTTGGCAGCCCCATGAGTATCATCCCAAAGAGGATTAACTTAATTCTTGAAAGATACTGGATAAAGATTCATATATTGCATTGAAGGGAATAATAAAATCACTAAAAGATTGCTGATTTATTGATTTGCCTGGAGAAATTTGGTTTAACTGAAATGTCAACAAGAGAAGGTTAAGAATTCAATAGTGGGAAATTAAGGGAGATACAAAGAAGATTCTACAAGTGAAAAACCAAGCTTCTCTATTCTGATTAATGCATATTCAGAAGAGTCATGTCATGATAGTGTTGTATTTAAGAAAGACAAAACTGGTAGAAGATACTTGCTACTTTTATTATATTGTAGTTTAGAAATTCAAAAGTTACTTGTAATTATGAAAGCTATGAACATTATTGTGAGTGGTCATCTGTAATATTGTCTCAGAAACTAATTGGTGTTTTATCTACACATGGGAATAATTCCATAGTTTCTCAACTGGCCCTTGAAAAAATAGACAGAAGTTTGAGTGTTAGCTTGAATGGATGGAACAAATTATTTGTGGTAGTAGCCAAATTTTTCAAAACAATAGGTTGATATGATGTTAAGTTAGTGTATTCATTTCTTGACTATTTGACTCCTGGTTTTATGATTATTTATTTATTACTGTCTGTACCCTGGAGTAATTCTTACTCACTGTAAATAAGCAAAGATAAATTGTGAAAGAAAAAAATTACCTTTTAATTGCCTTGAATAAAAAATATGCGAAAGATCTCTACTGTATGCAAGGAAAGAATTTTTAGTAGTATTTCTAAGATACTTGTAGCCAAGACACATCAACTAAGCCTTAAGATATTGTAGATATTTTTTGTTTCTTTTTAAAATTAGTGATCATCAGCTTGTTTTCTTTTGGTAAATACTTATCCTCCTCTTCCCCATTAATAAATGAAAGGCAAGTTTGCTGTTAATGTCATGAAACTTTTTAGTATAATTCAAGAAAAGATTAAATATAAAAATAATTTTTATTTTTTCTGCATACAAAATTTTTTCCATTTAAAAATAAAAATTTAACATTGTTTTATGATTAATTTACTTCAGAGGGATTTTGTTAACAAATCATTTAATTTTTTTCTTCAACAAAGAATTTACATCTAGATTTTTGTTAGACTTAGTTGTTTTTTGCATAATATCTCACTCAGGGAGTGTTAGATCTTTTATTTCTAAGTCTGGATAGGACATAGGCAATCATGGCTCTCTATAACTTCTTGTATCTTGTTGCTCTAAGTAAATGGCTATATAAAATAACATATTAATCATCATTTTAAGACAACTCAAACAAATTCTTACCAAATTTAAAATTTTTATTCAAAAGGAGACAATCTCTAATACTGCACTTAATCAATTCCTGCTATGCTTCATCTATTCACCAGAGATCTTGTACACTCCTGAATACTTATTCACAAAGCAAAGCCAGATGATGATTATTTCACTTTTGCACATTCTCATTTTGTACCAATGTATGATTTTAATTCATCTTGATACTTACAAATTTCTGAGCACAATGAATTAGCATGTACCTATGATATACCTATACCATTCTTTGGAGATAATGAATCAGTATTTAAATGTATATCATTTCTTTAATGGATTTTGTTTCAAAATTTTTTGTCTTTTTTTACTATTTACAGACAATCACGAGCTGAACTTCAATCACTGGCTCAACTTATTGAGTCAATGTGGACTCAGCATAACCCTCCTGTTTCACCAAACAGCCTGGATTTAGATCAAATGTTCAGTTTTCTTCAAGAAGAGAAAGCTCATGATCTGACACTACAACAACATAGTGATAAAGAAGAAGCACTCACAAGAATCAATGAAGCCTTTGAAGTGCTCAATGAACTTTGGGAGGTAAGTGTCAAAGCATGCTTTTAGCAAGGTAAGTGTCAGAGCATGCCTTTAGCAATGTTGCTTAGGAAAAGTAAACAGTTTAATTGCCATACCATCAGTTTTATCTTTTCATATTATTATATTGCTTATTAAATTATTTTTATCTGAGCAGATTTTTTATTCATATTATTTTAAAGTAAGAACACAACTTCTACTTACATAAACACAATGATATTGGATTAAATCCAAACTGATATTCATACTAAGAAGTGAAATTGTAATTTTGAAGACCAGAACAAAAAATATTGCTACATAACTGCCATGCAAAAGAGGAAAAACATTCTGCAATGATATATAAGAATGTTATCAACTTACCTTGAATAATAAGATAAGCAAAGATAAATTCATAATGGCGAGAACAATTCCAAGTTCAGACAATATATCAAGCAAAAAGATACTGTCACAACATCATTAGAATACTGACGAGACACCTTTGCATCTAGCCAAAGACCTTCAATTTTCCATTTTTCCTGTTATTTCTTTCGAACCGGGATTTCTTACTAAACTATCAAATAAGGGAGAATCATTGGGACAAAATGTCTTACTATGGTAGAGCACATTGACGGGTGGGGGGAGAGAAAAAAAAAAAATTTTAAAAAAACCCAAAAAAACAAAAAAAAAAAAATATAAATATTTACGTTATTTTTCATTAAAAAAAAAATGAGAAAGACAATTTTTAAAGACAAATATATTTTGTAAAATAAATATTTACTTTTACCTATGCTGTTGGTTATACTAGTGGAATGAACATGTACTGTAGCTACCAAAATTGTTTTAATTTCTCTCCTTTTAAACAGGAGTAGAGGTTTATTCCTTGTTTCCTGTTCAGTACTGGGTTTCTGGTTCCTTCTAAAGTGTACTTCAGCTCTATACTCCCAACACTGGTCTTTTCCTATGCTAATATTAATATAACTCCACATAATAACCCTCTACTTTGAACAGCTTTTGGGCCTTGTATTGGGTGAATATTAGTAAAATAAATCTTTGATTATCAACTAATGAAGAAAAGATACATCACTTGTTTTTTTTACTTTTTATGTAGATTATTTTAAAGACTTGAATTTGTCTTTATAATCTATCAACTTTTGTTGATGTTTATAATTTTGTGGTATTAAAAACTGTAGAAGTACTGAAGTGACTTTTCTCCTTATATTTCTGGATGTAGCTTAAGTACAAAATATGTGATTATGTTTCACAATATCTGAAGTTTTATTCTCACTACAAGGCCCTTTAGAAGTCCATAAATACAAAGTCAAAAATGTTATATTGCAAGCAGGAGTAAAGCTTCTTTCCAGAATCTAATATTTTTGTCTTAATATAGATATTCATTCTGATTCAATTTTTTTTCTATTATATGAATTCATAAAAACAAATCCTACCCATCTAGCATTTCAGGTATAACTTTGGAGTTCAGCTGCCAGTCTGCTGTTATGTTTAACCTCAATATAATGCATTAAAATATATGAACAATGATAGTAATATCTGATCGTTGATCAAGAACAAATGAAAAATAATAGTTTTCAAAATGTTAACATCACAAAAATACTAATGAACCCTGTTACTAATTGTTATTGATTGCTTTAATTTTCTGAACAAAAATTCTGTGCAGCTCAGTTCCTTAAGGGACCACTTTGAAAGCTATTTATCTGAAAAATTGTCTTTGAATAGTGAACCTTCATATATAATTGTTATATATTTTGTTTAATTTTTTTTTTTTTACTGAGAAAAGCACTAATTTTGTTCTATCATTTAAGATAATACCTTAATAAGCAAAGTTCAGCTTTTTGAATGAAATGTCAATGAAAATCCCAAGAGTTAGGTTGAAATTTCTTCGTATTTATTTATCTTTTTTATATTACTGTTTTTCAAGGCCTTTCATTGACATGCTCAATTGTTAACTAAAAATCTAATCAAATTTTTTATTTATTTTTTACAAATATGGTTTTAAAGGAAAGCTTTTTTGTTTTTGTTTTTTGAAATGAGGTATTTGATCAATGTCTGTCCAAAGTAGGCACTGGTACTAGATCAATATTGAAGTGATTGATTGATCACTTTCGTTGTGTATTGCAAGCAGGGCAATTTTCCTGTGGGTGTCTGCAGTTGATCATGATTGATAATTCTAACATCGCACTGAATTCTCTTTTTTGGGGTCAAGTTTTGTTGTCCTAAGCTTGTTTTGAAGATATTGTATGGAAATGCAGAGACTGGGAAAAAATTTCTCTACTACCAATTTTGCATATTGCATTATTAGTGACATTCATTTTTCTTTACTCCATATTTTTTGTATCTGTCTGCCTGTCTGTAAATTGAAGAAGGAATGTTTATAAACTGAAAAATTATTTCAGAATTGATGTTTCATTGACACAATGAAAATGCATTGATAAATGTATCTCTTCTTGTAAATAGAAATTTGTTAGTATGTGTTTCTTCTTTTGCAAAAAAGACTGCAGATAAAAAAAAGAATTGTTAAAAAAAAAATTAAATACTTAAAAAAAAATTATTTTAGTTTTGGCTGATTAGTTCTCTGGTAGTCTTAGGTAAATTATTCATCCAGTACTCAGTTCTGTAACATATTAGTATTAAAATAATTTGGAAATATATTTTACAAACATTTTATTAATAAATTTAAATGTTCAGTTTCCTTTCTTATATTTTTAGAAATTATTTTTATTATTTGAAATATGTGATGTTATAAACTTACCAAGTCTATTAAGTCTATTGTAATTATCATTGTTAAGAAATAGAAGCTTGTATGATCATGTTATGAATTATTTTTCTATAAATTATTTATACTGCTCTGCGCTTTTTTCTCTTAATCTATCCATTAGGTTCATCTGCTTGAGTGGCTTTCATGTTGTTTGTTAAAACATTTCTTAAAAAACGTTTACTTTATATTTTCTTTCTTGTCAATTTGATGAAGCCATAAAAAATAACCATTAAACATATTTTTATTTACACATTAGTTTTATTTGTTTATACTTATTTCTCAGTTCTCATAATGTTAGTCCAAGGAAACAATCAAAACCTCATATTAATGCCTGCCTTTTATAAATTAGAATCAAAATAAATAAATAAAAACAAAAATTCATGTATTACTCTTGATCTCTTTGCTCTTTTCTCTACCAGTTTCTCTCTCTCAAAAAAAAAAACATCCTGCACAAATAATAAGATATATAAAAGAAATAAGATACTTTTATCTATTGAGGCATTAAAGGTTGCTTTATGGGTGCCCTAGCATGGTTCTCTATATCAGCTTCTTCACAAGCTAGTATAGATTCTTGAGATGGGGGTTCTATTCCACAGATGGAAATTTTCTCCTGCAGGTAATACAGCTGAACACTTGATACTGCCACCTGCTATGTGTGCCAATCAATATACACAGTTAACTGCAATGATGTAAATTCTGCTCGGCTGAGCCCTACCATGGTGCACCAGATGGCTGCTACCATTTTCATGCTTCTGACTCAGGTTTAGAAAGACTTTTTCTTTTTGGTAAATTTGCTTTTAACATTTTATATAATGTGCAGCTTTTTTTTCTTAGTGGTTAAAGAAAATAATTTTAATAAATTTTTACAAATATTATTTATGCATTTGTTGACTTTTGTAGTTTTTTGTCCAACATTTCAAATATATTTCCCCCCAAATAAATTTAAAATGTCTTACATAATTAAGGTTCAAGTAGATTGCCTTTATTTTATTCTCTCTATATGATAATTTTCACCTTTAATGCTGAACAAACACACACACACACGCGCACATATATATAATTCTTTTCTCTATACCATGAATGCAACAAGAGAAAAAACAATTCAACATGATTAAAAAAAATCCTTTCATAAAAATTATCCATTGTATCTATGAATCTCATATGAAGCACAATAATTTTGTAAATAATTGTTTTGATTGATGGAAATTTAAAAGATTTTATATGCAGACAGTATCAAAAGGATCTTGAAATGCTAAATTAGCTCTATTATTTTAAACATTGCTCTGAAGGCCTTTTTGATGCAATGGTTTATAATGTATATAAAGTTAATAGAACCATAGAAATAATAATGTATATAAACTTAGTAGAACCATTTTTAGATTTCACACATCTGTTGTAGATACTTTAGCTTGTTTAATATTAATAAATTAACCAAGTGTCTCTAAAAATCTTTTGTGTTCTAAATTATAAAGAAAAGTAAAGCATTTCCTTTTTGACTTTGTATTACTGATCTTTGAAAGACACTCACCTGAACGAAGATAAGAATAGACTTCTTAATCCTTTTGTTGCATACATCTTATTCTTGCAAACTTGAAACTTGACCTGAACCAAGTTCAAAATTCTGGCCTCTACTGACAGACACCATAATTTGATATTGTAGCTCATTTGAGCAATGTCTATAGCACAGCCACCCACAGCTTGGCAGTAAGGTCATTAAGTTACCAGATATGTGTAACCAAAAAAAAGGAAATCTAAGAGAAAATAAATAACTTATTTAATATATTCACCTTTCTTTAAAAACTGAACTACTTATTCTCACAAGTTTCCAAATTTAATTCCCAATGTAATCTTACAAAATTTATCAGCATTTGTGATCTTTATTTCTTTTTAATTTGTAGATTCAACTCTGCTAAGGATATTTTATGAATTTTGTGTCTACAGTCTATTATCAGCTTTTTATAAAAATTATTACACTAATTGATATAATGATTTTTGCTTTAATTTTAAAATATTTCACGTTTTTAGCTTTCATCTCTTTTTCTTTTTTTTTGATCCAACCTTATTTAAAATCAAGTTCAATTTTGAATTGGGCCAATGGTTTTCATAAAAAAAAAATTATTAGTTTTTATAAAGATATTTTTTTTCTTTATTTTTCATCAATAACACAAAAATGGTGTTGTAACCTAGGAAAAGGCTACTGAATAAGAATAACCAAAACAAGGGTTGGAAATGGAATGATAATATTTATAACAGG